ATGAAGGGTTCAGGAGAACTAGTTCAGTTTAATGAGCGGAACAATTCAAAGCTGCTGATTGCAGTGAGCCATTTTGCCCACCACTAGAGCATTGTGTCCATTTAAGAAAAGTAAGTATTTTTGATAAGCTTTCAAATAAACATAAGTTTAATAAGCCTTAAAATATACTCTTTTTTTAGTTGTTGATGTTTTGGCGAAAATTTGTGATTTTCTCATCAATGTGTATTTTTTTCTGAAAGGGTAATCCAGTTTCCTTTGTTGCAGGTCTCCTTTGTCTCAGGCGTCATTTCGATTTGATGAGCCGTTTCCGAGCTGTGATTTATTGAAAATTATCAAATATGCCATTTTGAAAAATTAGACGTGAGTCAAAATGGCTGACTTCCAGCACAAACTTGGTTCATTGCCCTTAGCGAACAGTTGTGCGAAGTTTCATGAATTTCAGAGAGGTAAAATCTAAAATTCGTTTATTTTTTCGCATATTTTACCTGGAACTGCTCAGCAGACATCATTGGTGTGTAAGTCATGGCTACTATGTTACACTGCATAATACAATGTTGCCCACTAAACAGCTGCTGGATCATGTCAGAAGATTCGTTGCCTTTTTTGTCGAAGATTGTCAATCTTTTAAATAATTAATTACTTTAACTAACCATGCGTGAAGTTGACGATTTACATTATTGGAGATGCTTAACGTCAAATATCAGACATAAAGTGGACATTTTATATGATACGTGATGGGGAGTTGAAAGTATAGAGTTGATAGTTCCGTTAGAGTACGGCAAAGTGAAAATTGTATATAGAAAGTTGAAAGCGAGCAAAGGAAAACTCTGAGGAAGGTACGAATCGGGTAGGGTATCCCTTTAGTGGACCCTACACGATTGTTTTTATTGACAATAATCGTATTGTCAATACATTCTATATTGACGTCAATACATCGAGATTGACAATATTTCTGAATTCACATCATCAATATTATTGTCAATAATTCCTCTTCGCGTCAATATATTGATACGTGTGGGGTTCGCTTTTACCAAACGGATGTGTTTGGTAAAGGGAAACCTCTACCCGATTCACACCTTCCTCAAAATTGGCCTTGGCTCGCTTTCAACTTTCTATATACAATTTTCATACTGCCGTACTATAACGGAACTATCAACTCTATTCTTTCATCTCCTCATCTATCGTATAAAATCAGGCATAACATTTGATAACGGCACAAAAGCATTTGTAAACAAACTTTCTAAGACTCTTTACACGCGAACCAAAGTACGCCCACGCAAACCAATACCGCTTTCGGAAAGGTGATAGTTGCCCCTATCCGATGATGTTGTTGGTTTGCATGGACGTACTTTGGTTCGCGTGTAAAGGGCCTTAGAAAGTTTGTTTACAAATGCTTTTGTGCCGTTATCAAATGTTATGCCGGAAATGTCCACTTTTAATCTGATATTTGACGTGAAGCATCTCCTACTATGCATATTAATTACTATTTAATTCGTCGTTTGATTAAAAACCAATATGCAGCCAAGTTGTAGCTGCGTAAATTTCCTACAAGGATAGCTATCGAAATTTCTCTCAAAGCAATGCTGAAAAATTGTAGATGGCTATGAACAATAAGTTTAAGTTTCCTATAGTAATTCCCATACAAACTTCAAATGGTTTGTGCTCAGTCAGTTTTTTAACCAATCGAGATCAAATTTTTTTTAGCACTCTAGAGTGAAAATTTCAAATGTTCAGTCTAATGCACAAGCATTAGTTCAGCACTTTGGAAGCATTCAAGTTCAAGTGCAAAAATGATCGTATATCAAGCTGAACAATGCATTAGGTCCTAAGTAACATTGACAGATTCTCTTCGTCGACTTTCTCTTTGCATCCTCACGGCCGTGCTATGACATTCCCTGTTATTTTCAGCACACAGATCGATGGAAGAAGCTATTATCTGGCTTCTAATACGACAAATCCGGAGAACTTTGAGATTAGGGCGTAATTGCTATTGTAAACAAACATGACGTTCGCCGATTTCTCGCAAATTAAAGCTCAATCTAAAAAATTAACGGCGCAAACAAGTAGAAAAATGATTCCTCTATCATTTGGTATGGTTTGTTCGAGATATTGAGTTTCAATTTACGAGAAATCGGCGATAGATGTGTCTGTTTGCAAAATTAATTACGCCCAAATCTCAAAGTTCTCCGGAAATAGGATAAGAAACGGTTTTACACCCAAGTTATTAACGAAAGAGAAAGTCGATGAAGAGAATCCATCAATGTTACTTAGGACCTAATGCAGTATTCAGCTTGATATGTCTCAGTTACCGTTTGGCTTTCAACGTTAGCAGTTTACCCGTGCTCTGTGTGCCACGGAACCGAAAAATTACCCTAAATTAAGTTCTTTTCACTCACCTCCCATGTTCTGTTATATAAACTAATTTTCAGTAAACCGCTTATAGTAGTTTACATTTCACTACGGCAAAAATAATTACTCACTCGTGAGTATTTTCTACCCAAAATTAAGTTCAATTGACTCAAATTTGAGAATATCATTTACTCAATAGTAGCTTATTGAACGATAGTCATGAGAAAGTCGAATATCTCGTTCCGTTTTTGACAACAAAAAAAAGTGAAATTGGGATTCAAAATTCAAAATTACCCCAAATTACTTAAGAATTACTAAGAACTTAAATTTAGGGTAATTTTTTCTGTGTGTGCATTTTTTTTTCGCTTGCTTGCGTGCTGGCAAAAGGCGCTTGTCGAATGTTGTCGTCGTGTTTGTACGTTGAGGTTGTGTTTCAGAAATACAAACGAAGTGTGCCGTAGCCGCTATGAGTCGTGTTTGTTTTCGGTCGCTGGAGTTGTCGGTTCTGATTTCGGCGCTGGTCGCGAGTTGATTTGGCCGGTGAGGAGCTGGCACTGCGTTTTACAGACTGTTTACTGGCGAACTGAAGCCGCTGTTTTGCGAGTGATTGATGATGGAAAGTGGACACAGCCCTTTTTTCTCTGCTGATGTCCCGCTGTTGTGTGAGGAAGGAAAGGCGAGAGTGCTGTTTTTAACACCGGTTAAAGAAGTAGTGGCAGCATATCTATGGGAGCTCTTCGAAATCATCGTGATGTTATGGATTCGTTGTCAGCATTAAAGCCCTCTAGTTAAAGTATGGACGACTGTCACCACAAAACTGAAAAAAACCAGTTCCAATCGAGCAAAGCGGTGCATTTTGACGGTTCGATTGGAACAACTTTTGACCGACGTCCGTACTTTTACAGTAGGGTTTTAGTCAGCATCGGGTGAGAACTTTCCTTTATTTTCTTGTAATTTTCATTCCATTATTATATCTAGACCAACAATTGAAATAGGCGGAACTACCAAACGTAAACAATGGCTTTAAACGCAAATTCCTCGAGACTCAAAGCACATCCAATAAATCTAACACCATCATCTGATAGAGCAAACTTTATCGAATGGCTTTGTTAGTTTACGTGGGAGTGTTTTGATTATCGAGAATTTTGTGTTTACAGCCATTGTTTACGTTTGGTTGTTCCGCCTATTTGAATTGTTGGTCTAGATATGAAACATTAAATGCTTGGTACGGGATGGTCCATCAGAGCACGCGATTCAAGCGAAATTGATGGGGAAAGTGGAAATGCCAACTCCTTGTCTTTAACGTTTCGTCAATAGAGGGCGGCTCTTCTCCCCACTCATTAGGAGATCCTGTTGGATGGCCTGTTTTTTGATCGGTTGTATGATCCTGTTGTTGGAATTAGATTCTCACGGATTCACACAAATCGTTTTTGGCCTTTCATACAATGGCAGCTTGAGTACAATTAGAGGTTATTAAACTTGATCAAGTTGAACAGCGAGGATAGTCCACAGTCTACCGACAGTTGTCTTGCTACAGCGAGAGGTAGTTCCATATCATATCATCATCATATCAAAAACGATTGTATATGTCTTGATGACCTGAACAGGATGCATGATTTTTACCCTAATTAGCGATATAGGAACAAAATCGTTGTTCCAAATAGACTGTAAGAAACTTCTTATGCTTATGATGCGGGTAGGTTAATCTCAACGCTTTTTTCCATTGAAAAATGGTTCAAAAGTAGCACTCAAATAAGTACTGCGTTGCGAAATTAGAAGCTTTCATATAAGAAGGAAAAGAAAAAGAAATACATAACTTAAACAGAAATTTTCATTTGAAATCATTTAATTTTGAATTAATTTTAGAGAACATTTATCCATACAAAACGAACCTACTATCATTCGTTTTTGACTCCATTTTAATCCAGCGAATAGTTTTCGAGATATGTCCAACATGGCTTCGATAATCACCTTCTCCATTTGGATGAAATGGTTTGAAATTGATTTCTTGTTACTGTAACAAAAAAAAAGCCACAATTTTATAAAAACGCCCAAAGTTTCCTGCACGTATCGGCAATATTTCATACAAAAAGTTTAATAACCCAGCAATCGAACGAACCAAAGAGAACACATAAAACAGTTTGATCTCTGCCTCTACTGCAATTGAAAAAAAAAAAAAAAAAAAAAAAACCCGGAACATCAACTTTTCCCCACACATAAAGCATCTGTTTGTGAATGTATGCGCACGTGTGTGTGTGTGTTGGGGGTTGAACCAAGGTTACACCGAGCATTCTCACGAGCTTCATGGGCCACCGCACCACTCGGGACAAATTAGACTTGCAACACATTCCAATTCACGGCACGCGCTTCCCATAATGACAGATGAATACCGGGGTAACTTTAATAGCGGCCCCACCCGATCGCACTCGTTACCATAGTTTTGAAACAATAACGGGATAAATTATTCATTTTTGTTTTAGTGTGTGTTTGTGAGGTGTCCAGTGCCGCAGAGGTGAGCCTGGTTTAGCGGCACTGTTCTCGCTGTGTTGTATGTTATTGTTTGTTTTTCCTACTTAGGCGTATTCGACAAAAACATAGGGGAGTAATATGCTGTTGTTTTTTTTTTTGTATTAATCGTTTTCGATGCGTACCAAATACAAGCCAGCCAGTGAGCGATTAGTGCAAAGGTAGCCATCAGTAATACTAAAACAGCAGCGCCATATTCCGAATAGCGATCGATCTTTCTTGCCACTCGCACTAGACGCAATAGACGTGCCGTTTTCAATAAACCAATCAGAGTCGTTGTCTGTAAAGGAGAAGAAAGAGAGAAAGAGAGAAAAAGAAAAAAATGGTTTCCCCGGCGAAATGAACGATAAAGAAACACAAAAACAAAAACGAGGGCAAAAATTTATGGGGCGGGTAGAGGGGGGGTTTGTGTAAGACAAAATTCGGTGGCACGTCAAAATTTGGACGGAGAGATAAATGGGAGAGAAGAAAGCAAAATTTCTGTGATCATGATGAATCTAGTATGCATTGGAATGGTGGTTGGACTTGTTTTTTTTATTTAATGGTTGCTTAGATTAGCTTAAAATGTACTATTCAAAATGTTTTCAGAGGATTTCGTTTTTTTTCCAAATAGTGGATTGGAGAGGAAGTGTAAAATTTGAAAAAAAAAGCCTAATTCAAGGTGAAAACAGATCTATAAAAGACAACCAAAACAAAAGCAAAGCACTCAACACAAATGGAAAACAAAACCAACGAATGAACACTGAGCAGCGACCGCTATGAGAAATTGAATTAAACCAAGAGCAAAACAGAAATCACAAAACCAGCAAAAGTCTAAAACCAACTTTGCCAACTAGCATATATAAGCTTAATTGATGCATCGTCGTAACACTTTGCGGCGTGTCGTCCTGATCGTGACTGAGATGAGCGGGTGATAGTAGTTGCGGTGGATGATTGCACACCTCTCTTACCGAGGAAAGCAACGCGCAAAATACAAAAAAAAATAATGACACCGAAAGAAAACTTTCCCGCAATGACGTGTCCCTCCCCTGCTCCGTCCGAAACGGGGAGGGGTCAATGAAAAGAGCCAAAGCTGATCTGCTGGATGGTGGTGGCTATGACGGCGCAAAAAACAAAATAAAGTGCGAGGGTTCCGGACGCGAAACTTTTATCCCCAATTCGCCAATTCCCTCGCGCATTACGGTTGCAAGTGCTTGGCTATTTAGTGTGAAGAAAAAATCAGATCGGAATCCGTGGAAAGACAGTAGGAAGCTCAAAGTTAAGTAAGCATTAATATTTAAATAAGATCGTTGTTTGATGCCCTAAAGATTTTGCTTTTGGCAATTAGCTTCACAATTCGGGAAAGCATTGTGTGGTTTGCAGTGCTCTTGGGAGAACTTCTATTTGTTTTTATGTTGGCAAAGGAAGTTCATCTTGATGGAAGACCGCTCACTCGCGCTGGAGTATTGACCGCCAGCTATAAATGAGTGTCCAAAATAATGGACATGACCTTTCTTTATTTTTTTTCTATGACGGACCCCGGTGGCAATGGTGTGTTGTTGGATAACAATTTGCAAGCCATACTCCGCAGCAAAGTTTTCAAATTGGATTTTGGAAACATTTGCTCACTGGCGGTGAAGTCTTTCAACAAGATTATTGGTGACAGCGGCAGCTTCAAGCGATTTTGCGTGTTTTCAGCTTAGAGGGTGCTTAGAGTAAGTTGATCTGCGGTTGTTTTCCCTTAATGTGCTTACATGTCGCTGATATGAGTGGCTTACGTTTAAATTTGATGCTTGATCACTTGCTTTTGCGTTTTTTTATTTAGTTATGAGGACAGCTTGTTATTGAACCGAAAAATTTAACGAAATATCAATCGCCAGCACTGAATCGTTCAATGTGATGGACACGCATGGTTGGCTGCCCACTGATTCCATGCATCTGTCGGTGTTCAATGGGATGAATGGGGAAATTCTTTTTTCAACCTACCGGAGCATGCATAATCCGATTAAGTGGATGATATGCATGGACTGGATGTTGTTGTCCTGTTCTCTGGAAGAAAAATATTACTGGCATGGTAGGCGTTTGTATGTCAGTCTGTCTTGCTGTTGATGAATGCTGCTTTTGATTGAATGCTGCCGAAGGATGTGTAAGGTGAGCTTCTTGAATCAACAATGAAAGCGTGAGGTGGCGTTTTGATTTGAGAATAGTTGAAGTTGAAGTAGAGTTTCAACTATTGCTGCTTCACACAAGTTTTAAATCAAACGGTAATTTTTTCAGATGTTCAGATTTTTTATTTCGTTTGTTAGAAAATTATATTTGCTTTTTTAAGAACAAGTTTGACGGAATCTTTTTCCATAAAATTTGCTTTACCACTTTCACGGGCCCTCATCTGGCGATCGACTTATTGTACAAAGTTCAAAATATTCTACATGTTTGATGCAGAGAAGCAAAAAACGCGTTTAAGTTTTAGATCTGACACTTTTTTTCCTTGGTTTGTTTTCTGTCGATCTTGTTTTCCGTGCTGAGCACCAATGCTACCGACACCAGGGAGGCATCTCCCACACCTGGACCCTACCTATCGACCCATCAACTCATGGACCGTGCACCAATGGCTTTACTTCCCTTCCGAAGGAAGGCGTGACCAGAGATTTTATGCCTCAGAAAATCCTGGCGGTGCCTACTGGGATTGACCCCAGGCTTTTTGGGGTGAGGTGAAATCACGCTTACCACTACACCACTGGCGCAACTAAAGATCTGACACTTAGATAGAGAGATTAGTGTCACTGAAAACGTGAATTTTAGGGATTCCGGGAACCATGTCTTGACGTACAATATCAAGGTCAGGTTTGTCAGAAACAGCCTACTGTGACAGTTTAACGTGGTTTCTTAATTTTAAAGCCGAAAGTATTTATTTAGCTGTGATTGGATTATTTAAATTATCATAGTCATTTTAACACTCATGGGTCATTCATGACTGGTCCGGGGTTGAGATGTGAACTCGTGACTTTCCCGCTGTGATTAGATATGTTCACCTTTTTTTGTTTGTTAAATTTCGAGTACATCTAATTCAATGCTAACTTCTCTGTAGCCAAGGTTACTGATACTCGCATCGTACGGCTCAAAAGCGCTTACCGTCTCTGGACGCGTTTGGAATAACGAAAGCAAAGCAATCCTGAACAAAGATGCCAGATTTTTTTCTATGCAATTCCGTAGACTTATTCAAATCTACGGATTTCTACGGATTTTTTTTTAGTCGAAGGTGATATTCTTTTTTTAGTTCTAAAGTGTTAATTTACGTTAAATGATAAATCGATGAAAGAACTTTTGAAAAACTACTACGGACAGCCCTCTGGTGTTGTACGCAAAGGTGACGTCGGACTGCGTGGTCTTATATAATAAATGTTATTTGTTACCTGCAGCAGGACTTGTGTTTTGTGTAGGAATAGGAATTTGAGCGGGGTTCTCTCTGTTTATACTCTTTAGTATGACTATGATTGCCCTGAAAAGAAGCTTTTGATATAAATTTTAGCTGGGACATGTTCAGAAATTTAACTCTTTTGGAAAATCTTGGAGACCCTGAAAAGGGCCGATGGTAGTACAGGCATGAATACCATGATACTGTTCCACCTGTAGTTTTTGGCATACTTTCACTGATTGCTTCCCGGGGATCCTTGTTAAGCCATAGCAAGATGTGCGCGTGAGGACTTCCACGGTGCTGAAACTCAATCGTGTCAACAAGCTTGATGAAGTACACACAGCACGTGACTGGATCATCATTGACCAGAGTTGCTCTTTGTCAAGGTTGCAAAGACTCATTTCAGCTAAAATAATGTTTTTCGGAATAATAAAACCAAAAGATGGTATGATGGCATGTTTTACTTGTAACTTACAAGAAGAGGTTACAAAGTATGCGTTGGAAACATAAAACCTGTAAATTTTGCTTTCTATGAGTCACAATCAGCGATTTGCTGATCGCTGAGTGAGTGAGTGAGTGAGTGAGTGAGTTTGTGAAAAATCGCTGACTGTGACTCTCATGAAGTGAAATAAACAGGTTTAATATGTCAAACACATTCTTTGCAACCTCTTCTTGTATCCTACCAATTCAAAATTTGATCATGGTATCTAATTATTTCATAATTTAGAAAAACATTATTTTAGCTGAAATGAGTCTTTGCAACCTTGCTCTTTGTAGTGCATTCAATTTCTGGATTGGATCTGTTAAGTCATTGCCATTGTGTCCTTCTGACAATCGATGTAGGAGATTCAACAAATGGGGCTACATCATCTCATTTGCACTGAGTGTGAGAAACATCGTACTTCGTGCTCTTCATATATTAATGACAGAGGAACCCTGTTTTGCGCGGGAGCGATCTCCAGGCATTTGTCCTCATTCCAAAGGAGCGTTTCCTGTTGCCCAGCAGCAATTTTGTCTCATTATCCACGGCAATGGTTTTCAGCTCAATTTGAGGATCCACTGCAGGGGTTTCAAGACGATCTTTGGCGATCTGATCAATTGTGATCCCGTAGCGGTGGTAGTGGTTTTCGTAATCTAATAAGAAAGCTATGTTTAACCGGAGTATCCTTTATAAAGCCGGACAAGTACGACGACTTATAGATTACGTGCTTTTTGATGAACACGTTGAAGGCCTGATCATCATCGAGCTGACGAGGAAGAGAGCGTCGTCTCTCTTACATAACGCAAACGGTTGAACAACATTCTAACAAAAAGAAAATTATCAAATAACTATCATATGACATATGTGATTTCGTTCTAATTCCTCAATTTGGTGTAAATTAAACCATTTCTGATCTGATCATAATAACTAGGACATCGTTTCTTGCTATTTTGAGAATGCACACAAGCACAACATTAGCAGCTTTTATTATGAGAAAAACTAAAATACATACATTCGTGACGGCCTTCGGCGACAATGTCGTATGACATTTTATTATTGTACTTTAATTTGAAAGCTTGTTTTGCAAGTGTCGGAAGCAAAGGCAGTCGATTATCACAGAAAATGTGTCGACTACGGTGACCGCTTACAAGACTGGTCACGACACGACTTTTATTCGCCTTCACACGGCACCGTCGAAAACATTTCTCTTCAAGCAAAGATTGACAGTATATTATGGGAACTTTCGGCGGAGTGAAGAGATGCCATGTTTCGCGCACAGTCTGACGTTTGCTTACGGGATATTTCATAGGAGGGAAGTGCTACAGAGTCGCCGTCAACGCCAAATTATTCTATCAAAAAGCGGATAAGTGAGTAAGAAAACGGTTGACAAGTTGCAGTTGTATAT